ATCGACTTGGAACTGTATTTAAGATCACGGCTTTCAAGGTATGTTCCATGATCACCATCTCTATGCGCAACCATACCTTATAACCATAAGTGATCTAGGGATTTTATCTTAAGTGCAATTATAAGATGAATGTTTTCTCTTAAGATAAAGAAATGCCTTATTCATAATATAATTCCAATAGACTGTATTTACAAGTAGAATACGTCCAATTAGATTGGAACGCCGGGTACCCTACTCTAACATGATTTGAGATCAAGGACTTCATCTCGTCCTTCATGGCAAGCTCCCACTTGTTAGCATCTGTGGTTTGACAAGCTTCCATGTAATTTTCAGGCTCCCCTCCATCAGTCAGCAGCATGTAGTCCATGTATCTCCCGTTAGGCACATGGGGCCGAGACGACCTTCTCAATACAGGAGCTGGAGTAGGAGGTTCTGATTGCACTTCACTTTCTTCATTTGATTCCTCTGATCGAGGATTCCTCATTATAGGACTATCTGGGATATCTTCCACCTCAGCATAAACTGGCCCACTCGCTTCTGAGTTGCTGGCTCTTGTATTATGCCGGTCCTTATACATCACTCTTTCATTAAAGATGACATCTCTGCTGCGGATCATCTTTTTGTTTTCATCATCCCATATGCGGTAGCCAAACTCATCTTCACCATAACCAAGAAAAGTACATTTCTTTGATTTTGGATCAAGTTTGTTTCTACCTTGATCACTGATGTGTACATATGCTACACACCCGAAAACTCTAAGATGTGAGAGTTTTACTTCTTTTCCGCTCAATCCCTCTTCTGGTAACTTGTGATCCAGTGGTACCGATGGACTTCGGTTGATCAAGTAAGTTGCTGTGTTGACTGCTTCTGCCCAGAACTGCTTTGGTAGGCCTGACTGTACACGCAAGCTTCTGGCTTTTTCAGTCAACGTTCGATTCATACGCTCAGCTACACCATTGTGTTGAGGCGTACCAGGCACGGTTCTCTCCATTCTGATCCCGTGCTCATAGCAAAACTTCTTGAATCTGGTTGTTACGTATTCACCACCATTGTCGGATCTGAGCTTCTTGATCTTCAAGCCTGTCTCATTTTCCACCATACCTTTCCAAATCTTGAAAGCTTCAAATACTTCTGACTTGTGTTTTAGAAAGTAAACCCATACTTTTCTGGAGTGATCATCGATAAAAGTCACGAAGTATTGCTTCCCACCAACGGATGGGACAGTCGTTGGACCCCAAACATCAGAGTGGATGAGCTCAAGCTTCTCCTTCTTTGGAGTTTTTCTACTTGTCTGAAAGCTGACTCTCTTCTGCTTTCCAAGTATACAACCTTCACACATGTCAATTTCTATTGACTGGAAGCCTGGTAATTTTCCTTTTGAGTGAATGATCTTCATCCCTTTTTCACTCATATGCCCAAGTCTTTGGTGCCATAGATTGGGACTTTCATTTGCTGCAACTGCAATCAGATGACATGTTCCTGTTGTCTTGTAAAGAGTACCACTCTTTTTGCCTCGAGCAATTGTCATCGCACCCTTTGAAATCTTCCAATCATCACCATGGAAGATTGTCGTGTAGCCTTCACTGGCTAGCTGGCCCACGGAGATTAAATTCTTCGTCAGGTCGGGAATATATCTGACATTTTTCAATTCCCATACAGACCCGTTCAACTTTATTTTGATTGCACCTTTCCCTACAACCTCACATGATTGCTCATTACCAAGGTAAACTTTACCAAGGTTACCAGGAACATAATTTTCGAGTAGTTCCTTCTGTGAGGTAGCATGAAAGGATGCTCCAGAGTCTAACACCCAAGAATCATCCTTGTTCTCTAAAGAACATATCAACGAATCTCCTCCAGAGGCTGAAGCAATATTTGTCTCTTCTTTTGCCTCTTGACCCTTCGGTGCACTCTTGCACTGGTTTCTGTAGTGCCCGGTCTTCCCACAATTCCAGCACTCGATTGACTTCGAGTTTTGGGAACTACGATTATTTCTGAACTTGGATCTTCTTCCTTTTGATTTGTTGTGTCTGCTTTCTTTGGTTGAACTTCAACCTCTGGACTCTGTATGCAATACAGAAGAGGTCGATGGTTCACCCGACTCTCTCCGCCGGATCTCTTCACTGAGAACCAAATTTTGGACATCATCAAATCTCAACTTATTGTTTCCCGATGAGCTGCTCACAGCCGTGACCGTAGCATTCCAGCTTTCTGGCAGGGAAGACAAAAGTATTAAAGCCCGTACTTCATCATCGAACTCGATCTCAACTGAACTCAACTGGGTTGTGACGGTGTTGAGCTCATTGAGATGATGTGCCACCGAAGCACCTTCGGTCATCCGAAGGTTGAACAATCGCCTCATCAAATGAACTTTGTTTGAGGCTGATGGTTTCTCATACATGTTGGAAAGAGCCTTCATGAGGCCTGCTGTCGTCTTTTCTTTTGCAATGTTAAAAGCAACATTACGGGATAACGTCAGCCGGGAAGCTCCAAGAGCTTGTCTGTCAAGGAGACTCCATTTATCCTCCTTCATGTCCTCTGGCTTCTTTCCTGTGAGTGGTTGATACATATTCTTTTGGTACAGATAATCCTCGATCTGCATCTTCTAAAAGCCAAAGTCCGCACCATCGAACTTTTCAATTTTTATTTTTCCTTCGTCTGCAGCCATCACTTCGACTCTGATCTGACTTCTCTGCCGGATCGTTTCTGTAATTTTTGTGAACTACCGTGTTTTAAAACACGTCCGTAGATAAATTGTAGCGCCGACAAAATTGGTACTATTCACGTTTTTCAACGGAATAGTAACACCACACAAAAAAATACAGAATTAACAATCTGGCTCTGATACCAGTTGTTGGGAAAAATACGCTGAATTTTCCATGAAGTCGGATCTATAAAAGTGAAATAAAAAATAAAAATTGGACACACCAAATTGATAACGGAGTTCGGCCAATAATGCCTACGTCTCCGGACTACTGCAGATATTATATTGGGAAAAAGAAATACACTCGTGTTTACAAAACACTCTCAAACTCACTCACAACTCACAACTCACAACTCAAATACACACATAAGCTAAATTTTTATTAGCTCGCTCTCTCTTTCTCTTCTCTTATGTTTTTCTTTTGTGTTTGGTATTTTGTCGTGGTGCATTTCTCTGCACCTTAGTTCCTCTATTTATAGCTGAGGAATGAACATAAATTGCTCACGTTCAGCAGCCTAAATTAAAGGCTTTCACACCTTCACCAACCATAATTAAATGCCTTCACATGCATTTGGTTGCTATCTTCAACAAAAGGTTGCTCCAGGCTTCTTCTTTTTTTTTTTTTTTTCTCAATAATGGTGGCGCAGCCTGCCACCAATTTTTGACTCAACATAGGCTGTGGTTTAACATTATGTATATTTTTACTTTATTTTAGCATCTATACGTATATGATCTGTATGTTTATATATTTTTTTTTTATCATAGTACTTATCATGATCATGACATCAGTATTAACTATATATAATTGCTTTTTGTAAAAAGAATCACATGATTAAATCATTTTCTTTATTTTCATGTCCCACTGGTAAAAATTAAAATAAAAATCTAAAAGTAGCTAGGACTATAAAATTGATAAAATACAAACAAAATTTGATTTTTTACTCCATTTCAGCACGTACCAAACACTCTGAGTGAGAATTTTTTTAGTCCAGCACAAAGCTAATTTTCATTGAAAAAATTATATTTCCTACTCTAATATGTAATATATGATGAACCCTCATCGTGATTTTAATTAACCTTTTCGTTAGTTAGCTGCACCGAATATATTTGTATGGTGCCTCACTGTTCATTTTATACTAGTATTCTATATTTGTATGCTCACAAATAATTAGACATGGCCAAAATCCGGGCCAGGTCACGACCCGGCCCGGCCCGCCGGGTCGTCGGGCTAAAAAACACTAACCCTGAACCGGCACGGACCTATACTCGTGCCGGGTCCGTGTCGTGTCCGGACCGTGCCGGGTCTGTGCTTTTTTTAAAAAAAAAAGTATAAAAAAATAACAAAAAAAATAAAATGAAGGGTCATCGACCCGGCCCGGCCCTGACCCTCCGGGCCGAGTCATGAACGAATGACCCTTACACGGCCCTTCTGAAATCCGGGCCGGTCCCGAACTCGTGGTCAACGGGTTTGACCGGGCTGGGTCCGTGTCGGGTCCGGGCCGGGTCAGGGCCGGGTCGGCGCCGGGCGGCCCTTTGGCCATGTCTACAAATAATGCATTAAATTCAAAATTAAGTCATGGCCACACAAATATTTTTCTGAATCTATGATTTGTTTAATATCATGCCAAGGGGAAAAAACCCCTTTACTTGTAGTAGTGTAACCTTACCTAGCTACTCAAGACCTCTGTGCTACTTATGAAAGTTAGAGATGTTAAATGGTTCTTGGCTCGACGGGCCGGCCCGTTTAACCCGAAAAAAAAGGGGGTTAGGTCCTTTTATTAGTGACCCGTTTAAATCAAGGCTTTTTAGGCCCGGACCGTTTAGCCAGAAGTCCGCTAGGGCTAGTCCGAAACCCGCTAGGGCTGGCCCGTTTAACTAGGTTGGGCGGTGTAAATGTTTGCATCAAGTAAGTAATATGCTCTTAGATTCCTTGTATATTATAATTTTGATATTCCACGTGTAAGTACGAGTTGTAATGTATTATTATGATTGCCCGTTTAACATCTCTAATAAGTGTTATATGTATTGTTTTTAATTGCTGTTTATAATATACTTGAGATAACATAGTTTACTAGTATATATTAATATATATTATACTTAGAAAATAACTTAAACTCGTAATACCATTTGCAAAAGAAAATTGCATTAAATAAGATTGATAGCAGGACTGCAATTCAGAGAACGACAAAAAGATGACTAAAAATGTACTATATTTAAAGTTGCCTTTTCTCTTTTGACGCATAATTATATTAAGTGCATAACATGGTTTTATGTTATTATCTGCACGCGTGAAAGCCTACATATATACTTTAGTGACTTTTGACAGGGATGAATTAAAAAGAAAAATAAACATATTGTCAAAAATATATAACAATTCTCATAATTAATTCAAAAGTACTCTTCGAAAAAAAAAAAATGATTCTCACCTAATTAAGTCAGCAAGTTGATGAATTGATATTTGCCTCACCACATTTCATAAGCAAATATCAAATCATTAGACTGCTAAAACATTAATCTACCAATTAATTACGCTTGATTAAAAATATTGCATAAATTAATTAGCACTAATGGTACGATAATTATGCGGTCCGATGAATTCGGGTCGGGCCAGCCCGCGGAGCTTCTTCTCTTTGACGGCCGGATCCTCCAACATGAGAACCTTGTCTTTGTCCTTAACTCCAACCATGTGCAGGTGTTCATGATCTTCCCTTTCTTTTCCTTTGAACAATAGCCTTTGCTCTTTGGGCCCCAAATTTGTCAACAACGACAACAATACCTTCAATTCTCCTAAAAAAAAAATTATAAAAACAAATTATAAGAAAAATATTATAGGCGATCAAATAAAATTATTCATATATATTACCAAATATATGAAGAATAGCGAACAATGAACTGATGAAGCACAAATATATACGACACGTTACATGTAAATAAGTTGTAACAATTTATGAAATCTAAAATGGAGTGTTTATAATTACCAAATGTTGAAGTTGGTTGAATTGAAATATCATGCCATTTTGAGACGGTGGAGATTCTAATAGTAATAACCCCTTCTTCATTATTATTCGACTCTCTTTTCTGGACGAGCATGCCACCTGGCCTTACTTCCCATTTAATCTCGGCGGTGGCTCTGCCGCCTGTATTGGCGGCGTCACCACCATTGCCGCCGGCGACACTTGGCTTGGAGCTGCTCCGAGAGAACATTTTTGGCCTTAGCTTTATCATTTTTTTTTTTCTAATTAGTTCCCTCTCTCTTTATTTTTTTTATTTTTTTATTTTTTGTTTCCTTCTAAATTAATTTCTGTTTCTCTCTGGAGTTGTAGTTGTGATGTAGGAAGAAAGTTCTTGGGGTTTCAACTTATTTATAGTAGCTGACCGGGGGCAATATGTGGACAAAATGTCTCAATATTAATATATTAAGTTGTCTTAGCTTAAATATGGCATTATATGTACATATTTATTTATTTTATTAAATATCAAGGCTAATAAATAGTATTATCAATTAAAAATTGAGATAACGATTTTGAGATTTTGACACATGGGATGAATATGGGTTGAATTTCATTTGCTTATTTTATGGGGTGCTAACTGCTAAGCACATGGGAGTGCGAGCTAGGGTAGTTTTTGTAGATGCATAAATATTAGATTGATTAAACGTTCATTGAGCAATTAAATGTAAAAAAAAAAATGCATTTTATTTTAACTAAACTTCCTTTGATTTGGGATGAAAATTAATGCAAATGGGTTTAGTAGGAAAAATTAAGGGTTTTGTTGTTCTCTTTATCACTATTATTCTGATCATGATGATCATGATGATGACCACGATGGTATATTTGATTAAAATTGGTAAATAGAAACTCGTTAAGCTAGTTAAGGGTGTGTTTGTAAAAGAAATAATTTGAGTGAATTAACTCAAAGTGAGTTTTTTTAGTTAACTAGGGTAATTTATAAAAAGTAGTATAGTTAGTTGTTAGTGAAATTTTGAATTTATATTAAAATAATATTTAAAATAAAATAATCAAAAGTGATTTGATGTAAAAGTAGAAGAGAGATGATACGCTTCGTTCGTTGGGTAGATATAATTGAGGGAAGGCGTCGATCTAGTGAGGTGGTCTGAGGGACATGGCTCTCCTATCGGCACATTCATCCATCGTAGTAGAAGAGAGATGATATGAAGTGATAGTGAGTTAAAATTATGTGAGTTGATGAATAGTGAATTAAAGTTGGTATGATGTGTAAAAATGATTGGTTGTTATTATTTAATGATTGGTTATAATATTGAGGATAATGGGGTTGAGTTAAAGTTGAGTTAGATTTTTGAGTATGAATTAATATCGATTGAGTAAATTCTTTTACAAACATAGCCTAAGCTATTGATTTTATAGAGAAGCAAATCAATATACACAAATTGAATGGGAAAATTCCATTGTAAGGCTTGATTTTTTAGAATTGTGTTGTAATAGGGCCTAAATTTTTAATTTTTTCAATTGAGGGTTTCATTTTTAAGTTATTCTCAATATAAGCATACTTTTACATTCTACTTTCCAATTTAAGACTCCACATCACTTTGTATTTTTACCTAATTATGTAAACATCAATACTTTTTTTTTTTAAATTTATTTTTAGAGTACTTATAATGAAAAATATTAAATATCTTAGTAAAATTACCTAATATGATAATTACTTCATAATTTACATTTATGCAAAAGCTTAATGAAATTTATTTTAAAAGTTAAAAAATAAATTTTAACTTGATTTTAATCTAAATATGTGAAACATTAAAAAATAAACTATTTAAAAAAATATTTTTTAAATAAAATTATAGCAAATATTATTTGTGAATAAAATTTATATTTTTGAAAAAGTTAAGAATATATAAAATCAATACTTATAATAAATTAAAAGTATTAAATATATTTGTAAAACTAGCTTCATAAGAAAATTAATTTAGCTCAAATGAATAATTTTACTAAATATATTTATAATTATTTAAAATATAAATTTCAAAATAATAGTATTTTGGTTTATATATTTATGTAAAAATATAAAATTAGTTGGTGTTTTAAATTGAAAACTAGAATAGAAAAGTAAGCATTTAATTGAGAAATACTTAAAATTGAAATCCACAAATAAAAAAATTAAAATTAAAGTTCTATTGTAACACAATAACAAAAAGTTAAAACGTACAATAGAATTTCCCCCAAATTGAAGTCACATAAATTAAAGTTAGATACGATAATATTGATTCCATATAATTAAAATGAATCATATATGGCCTAGGGATGGGCACAAATTTCCTCATCCTTACTTACGTCTACTTGTGATTTTGTTTATATTGTTAATTTATGTAGACTTATTAGAAGTTGGCTTCTTTTAATTAGCTAAAATCTACGTGGTATCAAGCCATGTGCGGCAGAAGGTGCGAAGCATGGATGTAAAAATAATTAAATAGTATTGTTATATCTAAATAGTAAATTCATCATGCTTAATAAGTTAATATATAAAAATTGTAATCATTAGTTTAATCAACCCGTCATAATTTATTAATGAAAATTTATATTTATGCTATGAAAATATCATATTTATAATTATATTATTATTTAAAATATTTTATTTATTCTTAGTTAACTGGAATCATGCACATTTAGTATGCCGAGGCAATTGTTTGCCCCATCTAACAAGAACAATATAAATATATGATCGGCAAAGCAGATGCTTGCTTTTTGCCAAGAATTGGAGAATTTGAAAGTTGCCCATATATATGACTGCCTTTAAAGCAACATAAGTTAGATAGACAACTCAATTTGTTTAATATTATTTGGACGTGACCAACTGCCTCATATATAATTGTAATAATGCTTAAATTATGATTCACTTTTCTTGCTAATTAGTAGTTGATATATTATAGCGAATGTTTACAGCTAGAGTTGCATCTTTTTTCTCTTCTTTTTGTATCCTAATTTTTAACCAACTCTCTCCTACATACAAAAGGGATAAAAAAGAAAAAAAAATTAAATTGCAAGATTATAAATTAAACCAGAGTGCATATACTATACTCTGCATTGTATATAATGCTTTAGATCGTTTATTTATTTATTTTCATTTACCAACCCAAATTTATATGAAGTATGCAATTATATGAAGTATGGGTTAATGATAACTATATCCTAAAAATTTATAGCTGCACACATACCTATGTAAAATTCTACTTTATTTGTAGTGTATATATTACATCACAGATCCAGGCACATGCAATTGATATATTAAGATGTTTATTTACTATGGGCCGGGATAGATATATTTATGTAGATAGTCTTCTTAGCTAGCTGACTATATGGTATATTTAAATAAGTCAATTCACAATATTACAGTATTCTAAAAAAAATGTTTATGAGAATTTAACATTGTGGAAAGATTTTAATTAATGTGTCTATGTTTGCAGCAGAAAATAAAAGAGGATCGTAATTCTAAGCGATTGATACCATGATAGAATCAGATTTTCTCAGATTCGAGTAGAATGGAGAAAAAGATGAAAGAGCATGAGAGAGAGAGAACAAAACAAGAAAAATTGTGTTATTGAATAATCAAAAGTGTACTGTACAATTAGAATTTCGGGCTATTTATATTCAGCCCAACTAAGGATATAAAACTCAGAATACAAAAGTGCTATAACAATGCACAGAAAACGTGTTTTGATAAAGGAATTATCCTAAACCAAACATGCTTTGGAAAGATAAGATGAGTAGGTGGACCACAAATTAAAGACGAGTCAATTGAGAGCCAACAAAGTCATTAAAATTTGATTCGTCCTAATGATATAAGATTATTTACAAAAACCTAAAGAATCATGTGGTTGGATATGAGCACGTGAACATGATAAATATGAAATTAACACAAACCCTGGAAATAAAATCTAGATGCCGTGGCCACGCTTAGGTAGAAAGGTGATGAAATTTTAGGGGATGATCCTTTCAAGATTTGATTCTTCTTGGCTGGATAGCTTAAGATTTCGTTTGCCATCTTATACATGGACTTAATTTTTTTTTATTTTTTTTTTTTCTAGTGTTAACTTGTGATGCACCATAATTGTTAAACGTGTTGATCCGTCATAATTTATAAATAAAAAAAAATGTATAGAGATATCTACACTATAAAATGTTATTTGTATTCAATTGTTTCAGGGTATGACATTCAAACATAAAAATATGTCAATTTATTGAAAAACATATATAAGATTCATAGTAGAATTTAGTAAATCGGTTTGTATTTTCTATAATTATAGTAAAAAATAATTAAATAAAATTTGTATACATGAAATTTAAAAAATGTATAACTCTTAATAAATGTATTATAGGCTATGTTTAGTAAAACTAGTTGATAAGCTAGCTGACAGCTGATAAGCTACCTTATAGCTTATCAGTAATTTTTGAGCTTATAGCTTATATAACTTATGACTTATAGCTGAAAAACTAGCTTATATGATAAAAGTGTTTGGTAAAATTAGCTGAAATAAAAATTTCAATGAGCTTATTTAAAAATTAAGCTACCCAATGAAGCTTATCAAATAAGCTCGAGCTTTTTAAAAAAGTCCGTCCTACCAAACAGAGCTTATTTGAAAACATGAAGCTTATAAGCTAACCAAATAAGCTAAAAGCTAGCTTATTGGTCTACCAAACATAGCCATAATAATGCAATAGATTTAAATATATCAATACTACATTAGTGATAGTGATATTTCATTTTATATTACATGTTATATAAAATTTTGTATGATAAGAGTATATATACGATAATTATTATTACTAGTTTTATCCCGTGTATTTGCACGAAAAGCGGTATAATAAGAAAGTAATTAAAAATATAGAATAAAATAAAAATCACAACATAATAAATGAGAAAACAATAATTTAAAAAAATGAATCTAAATATTATTAAACACTTCTTTATATACAACATTCGTGATTTCCTATCGTCAGAATCCCTATCACAACAAATCATTATCGTTAAATCTCTTCGCCTCGTGATTCTTGGATTTGTTTTTGTAAAACATTTGATATATCTTTGTAATATTCAAAAAAATATTTTTTTACTATTGTATGACTGCAATAGAAAGTGGAGAAATTTGTAGTCATTTTTAATTAGTTGTGAAATATGTATTTATATAATATCAAAATAAAAACAAAAATATTTTGTATTTCAAGACATAAAAAGGCGTTACAGAAATGAACACCATTCAAAATGGAACATGTCAAAATAAATTGTGTAACTGAAAGTTATA